AGAATCAGAGGATTCATAGAGATTGTACACTCAAATATTTGAAATAAAATACTACGATTGTTGGGATATTTTTCGATCTTGATTTTATTTTCTCGACCCAAATTTATTGTATACAGATTTTGTTGTTAATTTTCTTTTTGGGTCTTGGTTAACTCCAAGCTTTGTCTTACTATTCTTCTTCTATATGTATTCTTGGTTCGTCTGATATCACATATTTCTGAAGTGTTGCATGTGAGTAATTTCTTTTATTTTAATGAAATTTTAAATTTTAACCTAAGATTTGAAATTGGGGTAGTAAAAATTCAATGAGACCAAGCAACTGAAACGCACATAGGATTTTTTGGGGTGCAAGAGGAATAAACGGTGAAGGTTGCAAAGAAGCAGCTTTTAAGTAATCTCTCGGCGGCTCATATTGAGAGGTAATGAATGAACTTTCTTCTTCCTGAACAAACTATTAAGAACTTTTTTTAGGTTATTTTAATTTTTCATATCGATTGTCATGATTTTCGTTAATTGGTATTTCAATACTTATTGTATATATAAAAAAATGAATTGTACGTATGAGCTTCAGACACATTGGTATTTCATTTATAAGGAATTGGTTCCAAAATGACAACCTCATAAACATGCTTCATTCGACTTTTTAGGGAGTGAAATTGGGTGTTAATTTGGTTCCTACTTCCGTCCTATCCTGTTCGTATCTTCTTCTTCTTCTTCTTCTTCTGTATTTATGAGTATTTCTTTGGTGTTTTCTATTTTGCTACCCAATTTTATATATGAATATTTTGATTTATCATTGATTTGCATATGTCTAAGATTTCATAGATATTGTCAGTTCAGTTCCTTATCCCCTTTGGGTTTGGTTAGAGCACATGTAGCGCGCGAACTAATTCCCTCGACTGGAAAACTGCGGGCCCTTCATTTTTACAATAATATGAGAGGAGATAAGGGCGTTATTGCTATCTGTGAACTTGTGAAGCACTCTCCAATATTGGAGGATTTCATAGTCATATACAATGATTGGATCTGATGAAGATAAGGGCGTCATCTACTATCTTTCACAAGCAGTTGGAGTATGCACCAACTTAATGGGGGTTGACTGGCATGAAAGATGTTTATGAGGAAGCTGAAATTGTATTGAGCAAAGTCATATCGAGTTTGTTTGTCAAAGTTAACTGAAATCTCACCCGAGTTACTTGAATTTGTAGGATAAAGTCTTCACTTCTCTTGCTAATGCCCTTAATAAATTTGTTGAATTCTTGGAGTTTTAGAAAGACAAACCATCAAACCTTCTCCTTCTTTGCCCACCTGTATAACTGTAAAACAAATTCTTACCAAGTTAAACTTTGCTGAGAATGAATTGAAAGATGAAGGTACTATCTTAGTTGCTATCTTTTGAGCATTGTCTGAACACACTTCACATTCACAATTGCACCAAAATAACAATGTGTTACTTTATTTGAACTATCTAACCATATTTCTTTCTTTTTGTATTTCACAGTATGAATATCATGATATTAATCTGATATTATTTTAAGATCAATAACTAGATAATTTCCATTTGAATTGCTATGGAGATCAACGACTCCAGGTCTGTTTTGAACTTGGGGAATACATTTTTATGAAGATAACACCAACTTTTTGACAACCTCTTACAATATATACTGTTTATTAAAAGAACATAGTTCTGGCAGTTTTAAATCTTTAAAAGAAAACCCATTTACTCCAAAAGTTTTACTTGCAATGTGAACTACAACAATTTTATCTACAATGTGGCCTATGTTGTATTTGAAAATTGATGCCCATTCGAATCCTATCGATAAAATTAAATTCTTAAACAAATGACTTGCCATTTGGTTACCCGAGCTAACAGTTCTGTGTTGTCGTGTGGATGATGATACTTACATCTAAGCTGCTCCTGCTGGAATCTATATTCCCATATCACTGTGAACCTTCCAAGAAAAGTTTTAATATGAAAATTTTGAAAAGTGTGGGGATGTAATTAGAATAAAGCTGCTTAATTTTGAAGAACATGATGCTCTTGCGTATTTGATATGCCTTCATTAGAAAGAGAACTTGCAGGACTCATTTGACTATATGTTGTCTTATTTGTCATTGCCTAGGAGAAAACATAACGATCTTACCACTCTATTTCTAGGAAAATCACAACTGATTGGTTGTAATCTTAGAAGTTGTTCATCTTGGTGATTTGAGAAGGCATAGGATATATATATGGATCTGGATCTGGCCTAAAACATTTGTCTTCCACTGTAGATGTGTCTTTCTAATCTGGAGGAAAGATGAATGCAGTTAGTAAAGTTCAGGAAGTGCTTACCATGACAAAGAAGAAGAATTGACAGAATCATGACTAAAGTGCCGCAAGAATGCTCCAATATTGACATTCTATGGACTGCTTCAATGGATATGGCATCTTATCTTAATCCTTATGCTATTGTTGCAACTAGAAATTATATGAAAAAAGAGGATGTTAAAGAGAAGCTAGACATGGGTTTAACATCATACTTTTGTTGCACCAGGTATTTGAAATTTTAGGCATTGCATTACAAGTTTGAATGGCAACATAGTAATAGATTGCACAGGAATGTTGTAGTAAAAAGATGTGTTGCTGCAAAACTAAAGCATGGAGAAAGTGGGAGCCACATTGAAAGAGGGAATAAGACTAATAGATGGTAGACATGTACTTGGAAGTGCTGTGGAATTCATAAAGATTGCCTTGGTTAGAGAAGTTGATGAGAACAATCTCAGTTACATGTGTTAGCTTAATTTTTCTGTTAAGTGATGTTTCAACTGGGAATCCTTTTGGTGCTGCTACTTTGTCTTCCACCCTTATCCAAACAAGCAAATTTTATATCCTTTGGCGTTTGAAACCTTATATTTGCAGGTTACTCCACCACAAGAGAAAAGTTCAAACTTTTTTTTATCTTCAAAGGTCTTCATCACATGTATTAGAGAAAATAGTTTCAAATATGTTATGAATAGAATTCTATTTAGAGTGAATGTCTATCTTGTAGAGAGTTTTACTTTGTGGCTAAGTCATTTTTTCCCGGTCTTACCCCATTGTAGATCATCCCAAAATTCAATAAGAATTTTCTCTCTCTTTCTCTGCAATATTGTTCTTCTACTTTTATTGTTTTATCACACGTTATCAGCACGAGACTCTACCGTCTCAAGAAGCTCTTTGAGAAGATTAAGCAAATATGGATATCTCACAAAGCAAACATGGATTAAAGTTCAATTGTAAAAATATTTGTTTAATTGATTCATGTACGACACATACAATATTCAAAGA